CCCTGGTGGTGCAGCGGCTGAGCGCTGGGTTGCAAAGCTGCCCGCAGCCTCTGCAGCACCGGTTCGATCCCCGGCTGCTCCCCGGCCACCGGAGGAGGGTCCCACATGGCGCGCAGACCTCTCCTGCCGCCCGCTGCTCCCCTCAGCAGTGTACTTCGGTCCTTCTGCCTGCTCTGCTCCCCGCTCTGGCTCTGGTGAATTCTCTCATCCTCCCGCGCTTCTGACTGTACCCAGTGCTTGTATAAATAAATAAATCTTTAAAAAAATAAAAAATAAAAAAATAAAAGAGAAAGACCCAAGGAAAAAAAAGTGAAAAACAAAAACAAAAGACCAACCATCAGGTGATATAATAGAGGACAAAAGCAATACCAACTACTATTTCAAAAACCTGATTTCTTTGTGGTTTGTGATGAGTATGTCCCATACTAACTCATTCCTGGACACATTACTAGCCATTTTATTTTTATTTAAATAGGATTGTTATAATTTGATGAAATTCTGGGAGGATTCATGACAAGCACAGCTATAATTCTAGTATGTGCCAATGTGAAGCTGTAAGCCAGTAGGGATAATCCATCAAGCCCAGTGGAGAAAAATTCTAACCTGTTATTGCTTTAAGATTAAAAGGCCAAGAACCAGAATACAACCTCAACCTTGTATGAGAATGAGAAAAGCAGCGGGGGAAAAAAGAAGGGAATAAAATGGAGAGGGGTTTCATGAAAGTTATAGGTTATGTTTAAAAAAGTCTTTAATGTTTAGTGATGTTTTCATAATTTTACAATTTCTAAAAGATATAATATGTATGTATATATTATTACATTTTTCATATTTAGATATATTAAGATGTAGGAAAGGGACCTCCCCGGTGGCGCAGCAGTTGAGCTCTGGGTTGCGAGGCTGCCCGCGGCCTCTGCAGCACTGGTTCGATCCCTGGCCACTGGGTGAGGGTCCCACATGGCTTGCAGACCTCTCCTGCCACCCGCTGCTCCCCTCAGCAGTGTATTTCATCAGTCTGCCTGTTCTGCTCTCCTCTCTGGCTCTGGTGAATTCTCTCACCCTCCTGCACTTTTGACTGTACCCAGTGCTTGTATAAATAAATAAATAAATCTTAAAAAAAAAGATGTAGGAAAGACAAGAACCAATATTGGAAGATCATCTACCTGTATGTTCTGAATTTATGTAGTGAGCCAATCCTTTACAATTGAACTTTCCAAAATGTACACATTTCTACAAAATATACATTTTATCTGGAGTTTTGTGGGAATGAAAAGCAATACGTTACCACTAAAATTTAAACTTGAAAATCAGAAGAGTAATAATTAAAACAATGTGTAAAGAAGCAGGTGGTATTTTTTTTTAATTCTTGATTTTATTTCCAAAAATATTATATAAAATGCTGGGTGTGGGGGGGGATACACTTAGCAAACATAAAGGAAATAGAGAAAAAAATGTGAAAAAAATCAATAAAAAAATAGTAAATGGTAAACAAAGTGGGATAATCTTTAATTAGAAGAAGGAGAAAGACTCAGAGTGAGAATGAAAGAGGAGTCATGACAACTGACACACAAGTGAGAAGACACCACTAGGGTGAGTCTCAGTAACTGGATAACATGGAGAGATGGGGAGAGTCCTGAGGATCTAAACAGACCTGACTGAGTTATGAAAACACAGAAAATACCTATAATGTGAAAGGAGATCACATAGGTAAACAAAAACTTCCAGATATGTCCAAGAATTGCCTAGAAATTAATGACTCATTTGTGAATCTGACTCAATGTGTGAATTGTACTAAACGCTCCTCCACAACTTCTTCCAAGCACTGAGAGGACCTGCCCAGACTGACTGATGAGGCAGCATCATCCTCACATCAAAGTCAAAGAAACGCCCACCCCACCATGCACACACATCAAGTCGATAGCCTACATGGTGAATCTCTCTTCTTATGTGACAAATTTCTGGTGTTTCTTCCTTTTTCCCAAAATTTAATCCTGTTCTAGAAATGTATCTTGGCCTGCAATTTTTGTTGATGTGAAAAAGACAAATGTTATCTTTGCTGTTTCCCCCAATATTCTCTAAAATTTCATGATTTTGGTAATTTTAAGAAACCAATAATGTTTATAACAGTTTACAAAATTTGCCTAGTTGTACTCTGATTCAATACTGAATCATTTAAGTCTCGTTTCTGTCCTTGAATTGAAAGCATCTTAGCTCTAGTAGAGCAATCATATCTAATGTGTGCTATATATTTACTATTCTTTAAGCTTAGTCTATTACTGATTTTGAATATATATTGCATTATTCCTCCAAATAACTCTAATGATAATACAAATTCCTCTAATGATAATACTCATTTAAAAACTTAATTTTTGTTTCATGTTTTTCTAACAAAATTCATCAAATGCGATAAAGTATTACTGAGTTTCCTACATTTCATACAGTTATATTCTTGTAAAAATTGTGTAAATACATTTTGTTGTGTTTGCAATGTTGAGATATAGAAGGAAATGAAAATAGGAAATGGCATGGGACATCTTAAAGGATTATAAGGAAGGGAAGATTCTGTAAAGATTAAAGCTTCAATTGATGCTAAACCAAAAGAGTCTGTAAATTTCTGTAAATGAGAAGGAAGAGACTTTATAGTGTTGAAGAGAGAAAAAGAAAGGAATAAAGAACATAAGAAAGGAAGGGTGGGGGGGAGAAGGAAGGGAGAGAGAAAGGAAGGAGAGGAAGAGAAGGAGGGAGGGAAAATTGCACTTATTTGTACTTAATTTCTGACTGAAGATTGTAAACCAATGAGCTTTATTTCCTTCCTATCCATTCCTGTTTTGTTTTGTTTTGTTTTTTAAGATTTTTATTTATCCATGATTACAAGAACTGGGATACAGCGGTGCGGGGGGTCAGAAGATTCACCAGAGACAGAGTGGGGAATAGAACAGACAGATGGACCAAAGTACACTGTTGAGGGAAGCAGCAGGCGAATCAGGAGAGGTCTGCTGTGCCATGTGGGTAGCTCCCTGGCCGGGCATCGAACTTGTAGTCTGCAGTTGCTGCAGACGGTTTCACAGTGCAGTGCTTAACCCCTTGCGCCATCAGGGAGGGGTCCCATCCCTGTTTTGAAAGTTTCCATACAATTAAGTTATTGTGTCGGGCAATGCCACACTAATAAAGACAGGGGAGTCGTGGTACAGGCTACATAATGCAGGATGCTGCTGAAGAGCATGTCACAGCATCAGTGACATGGGTTAGGAGGACAAGGAGAAAAGAATAGGTGACATTAAGGAATGTCACCTAGGGCTTTGGGGGGACATAAGTCTGCTGACCAGATAATTCTTATCTGCTTGACAACCAAGTGTTGTAATCAAAACCAGACCCCAGACCCCTGGCCATGTTCCTAATCTTATCAACAAGGCATCCCACTGATCAGCTTCTGGGGTCCCTTGTCATACATCAGTCCTTAGCTCCCCTGGCATCCCCAGTCATATCTCATGATGTATGAGTCGGGAGTAAGTTTATGCTTCCATCATCAGCCCCCCGGGTGTTTCAGGTCATACCTCTTGATGCATACCCTTCCCAGAGTGATCAAGGTTTCTGCTCTTGATAGATTTGAAAAACACCTTGTAAGGTTTGGCTCCTATGACTGATTGACCAGTTCAGAAGGGCAGTTCTGACCTTGTATAGGAATGCAGAACTGCGGGGAACAATAATGGTGTCCAAACAGACTGCTTAAGATTAGCAGATCCACATTAAATCATCTGATATTTGATGTCTACAGTATTTTGTATTGCCTATCAGGTAAATGAAAATTTAGCTTCCAATTTTCATTTGTTCTGATTGTACATTTCTGTGATCATAAATAAATAATTTCACTGTGGTACTGTTAAAAAAGAAGAAAATATCTTTGTCTATTTTCAAAGCACTCTGAATACCTATTGTCTTTTTTCAGTCACTTTGGATATTAGTGAAGGGTTTCTTTCCTCCCCAAATGATGGTCAGGTAATGCAGAGCCTGAGAAAATTGTCTTATCTAAATTAAACTTTTTCCCCTTATAGTCAAACTTCTTTTGGGGAATTTTCAATTATTGTAACAACTTTATTATTCTGAAGGTTGTGAAGACCCATGAAAACATTCAAAGAATAACTCAGAATTGTTGGGTGGGATGCTAAAGATGCCGTTAAGGATCAAGACAGTGATTCCCATAACTTCAGGGAAAAACAACCAAGACCTTTAGTGGGTGGATGAAATACTGAGTATTGAACATGCTCTACACTTATTTTTATTACAGAATTTATTTATGCACATAAGAACTGGGGTACAGACCAGAGGTGCAGAGGGTGAGAGGTTTCACCAGAGACATAGTGGGGAACAGAACAGGCTCCACTTAAATATACTGATGAGGGGAGCAGTGGGCAAGACAAAAGAGACCTGCTGCACCATGTGTGTAGCATCCTGGCCGTCCGGGGATTGCACTCCTGCTGCAGGGACTGCGGACAACTTCACAGCGCTGTGCTTAAATTAACCCCTTGCGCCATCAGGGAGGCCCTCTACACTATAATTTTTGTTTTACACATGCACACTGGCAATAAAGCTTTATTTATATATGAAGCACAGTAAGAGTGATAAATAATACTGATTTTAAACATTTTAAAAATGTACTGTAGGGCCTCCCCGGTGGTGCAGCGGTTGAGCGCTGGGTTGCGAAGCTGCCCGCGGCCTCTGCGGCGCCGGTTTGATCCCCGGCTGCTCCCCGGCCACCAGAGGAGGGTCCCACATGGTGCACAAACCTCTCCTGCCACCCGCTGCTCCCCTCAGCAGTGTACTTCGGTCCTTCTGCCTGCTCTTCTCCCCACTCTAGCTCTGGTGAATTCTCTCACCCTCCCGCGCTTCTGACTGTACCCAGTGCATGTATAAACAAAACAAACAAATATAATAAATAAATAAATAAAAACATGCCTCTATAAAAAAAAATGTACTATAATAAAAGGTGCACAAATGTGATCTCTCTCAAAATATTTTATTTGTAGATGTCAGTTGATGCAGTTATCTGATAATTCAGAAAACAAAGCTACAGTTAAGTTGGGGATGCAGGGTGAGGTCCACTATACTCTGTACCTAGAGTCCTTGATAGTTTTCTATCAAGCAGCCGGATAATTAAGGTAATTTTCAGTTACCTTTTAATTCTTCTTAAATCAGTATCAGATATCTATATTCTTATAAGTAATAAGAGTTTTCTATTTCATGCCCCAAGAAATCTTCTGAAACTTGTTTAACTTAGTGAGTACTTTTCCAGTACCGTTAAAACTACATTAATAGTACATTTTTGTTAATATCGTAGCAGAACTAGTGCTTTCAGCAGAGTTAGCTCAGTGCTTTTAGCACAGTTAGGGCTGGTGAGTATAGGCAGCCCAGTCCACACTCACTATGCTTAGGTGCCACACTCTGAGTGACCTAAAATTAAATACTACCTGGTGCTCTGGATGCTGGGGGAGGGTGACTATGACCAGGTGAAGCTCATGCTACACATACTCATGGGCACAGAGGTGGCCATCAAGAGCATCCAAAAGTCCAAGCAGCCCTGTCGCGAGTCCCTGTCCCGCAAGGTGGGGTGCATGAAGGTGCTTCATCACCAACACATCGTTCAGGTGTTCCAGGTCATGGACACCAGAGACTAGCTGCTGCTGGTGATGGAGTACAGGGAAGGGGCAGCCTGCAGCGCCACCTGCAGGAGCGCAGGGACCTCATGGAGAGCAAGGCCTGCAAGAAATTCGAGCAGAAGCTCTGGGCCATCACCTACTGCCACACCAAAGGCGCACTGGGATCTGAAGCCCGAGAACATCCTGATGACCATCAGAAAAACATCAAGCTGGTGGAATTCGGGCTCAGCGTCCAGTGCTCCAACCAGGCACTGGGTGCAGATTGTGGCAGCCAGAATACAAGTACTCTGAACTCTACGTTCAACAACATTACTGGCCCCACAGCAGACATGTGGAACCTGAGCATCATCCTGTACAAGATGGTGACCGGGGCACTGCCCTTTGTGGGGACCAACCACTGGGAGCTCAGGGAGTGCATCCTGAGCCGATACTTGTATGTGCCCAGCTACCTATGTGCAGTGTCAGGACCTGTTAAACAAAATGATGGCATGGGACCCCCATGCCTTCTTCTGCAAGCCCGTCCCTCACACTGTGCCCCACTGTGAACAGGCCTCCAAGGAATGCCTCCCGCAGCCTGAGTTTTCGGGGAATAATCAACTGCCAAAAAATGCTATGTTTCCTTTGGACACAGGAGTTCAAACAGATGGAGAAGGATGCTGCATCAACATTGTTCAGCCTCCAGGTCACCCCGGGGCGCAAGACTATATCTGTGAGAGTCCACAGCTGGAGGACCCCCGGGTACCTACATGCCAGGCCCCAGCTTGAGGACACCCAGTAGTACAGCACCACTTCCAGGCCAGGACCTCTGCTTGAGGACATCCAGGAATACAGGACCAAAACCTTGAGTCCAGCCCCCAAGCCCTCCAGCACCACATTAAGACATCCCCTAAGACCTAGCTGGCACCTGCAGTTCCGTAGTAATGCGATGGTCCCTGAAGAAACTCTGCCATGAAGAAAATGGTTACACTTCAGACTCTAACCTTAATTCCACCCAAGGCAGTAAGGCTAGAGCTAGGAAAATAATAAACAGAACATTAAAATTTTGCTGCTTCTGCCCACCATTCTGCTAAAATCACCACAACAACGAGTTCACGCAGCCAGAGACTAAGAATATCTATGGCCACACTCTGCAGAAGTCCCCCCCAGGTGCAGCCACCCAGTGACCATGTTGACCAGGAGCACACCAGGGGAGGGAGAGGCTCTGGAGAGGGTCAGGGCCTGGGCCCAGTCAGAGGGACCAGGAGCAGCATGAGATGCACAGGTCTGGAGCACATAAGTCCAAGGAGCACAGTTATCGAGGGAGCATAGAAGTCTGGGGAGCAGAGAAGTCTGGATAGCACAGATGTCTGTGGAGCACAGTTGTCGGGGAGCACAGATGTCCCTGGAGCAGAGCAGGAGAAGGGCCAGGATGGCAACGGATCTGGTGAAGCACCTGGAGGGGAGCAGAGTGGGTGAAGTGGGGGAGTGGAGGGGTTGGGGGCTGCTGAGCAAGTGAAGGGCGTCAGGAGGGGCGTGGAGCTGTGCGTGGGCAGGGCCCCCAGGGACCCCAGGGCCAGTGGCAGAGGACCCCAGGGCCTCAATTCCCCATCTTAGGCTCTGTCCCATTAGGGCCACCCTGCACCCATACTGGGAGACCCCTTTTGTAGAACCCGCTGGACACACAGATGGCATAGAGAATGCAGGAGCTCTTCAGTCTGAGTGGCTTTGTCATGGACTTATATTGATGGTATCAAGTCCCCCTGGATTTCACTCCCTTTCTTTCACTTTATACATTTTTACATTATTTTTCATTTTTACACAATGTATGCATTTTCATCTTGGTTATAGTCCCCATACAAATCCCACCCCCCTTGTTTTGATCGTACTCCCTCCTCCCTCTGCCCCCGTATTGTGTGTCTGATTTATAGTTGATTGTTGATTGTTGATTTTTACTTTATTATAATTAGGTTTTTTCCTGCTCCCTTATTTAGGTTTTCTAAATTCCTACTATGAATTTGGCTTTGGCCCCTTTTAAAAACTGAAATTCCAAGTTGGAGAATCGCTCACCTACCTGTTAGTGGCAGCTCAGTAGGGCCTCCTGGTTTCCATCTGAACCTTGTAAAATCAGGTCTGTGCAGATCTCCCTGGGGGATTTCACTAACAAAAGAACATCCTAAACAGTTAACTCTGTGTTTGGGCTTTATTGGCTCTTCTCTTCCACATAGGTCCCGTATGGCATGAGGAGGCGGCCTCCGATGGGTAGACTGGCTTCCCACTGCAGGGGGGACCTCCAGGTGACCTGCTCTGCCTGTGGAGTGCTGGGGCATGGAGGCACCTGAATGCTCTTTCTCTGCCTGAAGGAGACAGTCAGAAATGGACTGTTTTGTTAAAATGTCTATCCCATGACACATTAAATCAGTATTTGACACCAACTGCATTTGCTTGTCATGTATGAATGCACCCACACTTCCAACACATGGGTCATCAGATACTTAAATTTGCTTAAAAATTCCTATAATCAGCAGAGAAAATTTAGAAAATTTTGCAAAGCATTTAGAAAATTTTAGAAGTCAGATGGGTCACATGGTGATAACAAAGTGATATAAGATAGTCAAACAGACCTACCAATGAGTATGTAATTAGGTATTTGCACTATTTTCTTTAGCTGTATGTGCATGTCTTGCACTGTGTCTGTGTAAGTGTGTGCATGTGAATCTGTATTGTGTGTGTGTGCATGTGTGTGCTTCTATAGGTATCAAGAATTCATGTACCTTCTACCATCAGAAAGACACACAGAGAACTGTAGAGAATGGATACAATGTCTTTGCAAATCGTGTTGCAAAGGGTTCAGCACAGCACTGTGAAGCTATGGGCAGCCTCTGCAGCACAAGTTAAATCTCCAGCCATCCTGGGAGCTAACCACATGGGGCAGTAGACCTCTCCTGTCTCCCTGCTTCTGCCCTCAACAGTGGATTTCATGACATCTGCCTGTTCTGATCCCCAAATATCTCTGGTGACTTCTCTCAGCCCCTGATCCTCTGGCCTGCACCCCATTCTTGTATGCATCAATACATAAAAATAAATCTAAAAAAAACCTAAACAATATGGCCACATGATGCTAGAGATGCTGATTGAAAACACCTGAGCAGAGGTGAGGACTAGGCAAGTGGTTCTCAGAGCCGGAGTTGAGGGAGCTATGGGTCAGAAGGAGACATTTTGAAGTCATGGGTCTGTAGGGGATGTTGGAAACCATGGGATGGATTAGTTCAGTTGAGGATAGCAAAACAAAGGAGGAGACATGCAAGCATGTTTGAGAGAAAAACTGGAATGGGCATTGGAGTCAGCAACTGAAACGGAAGTGGCCATGACACGCTCTGTGCAGCAGCTCAGCAGCAGCAGCAGCAGTTGGCAGGAGGGAGCAACACAACCTCTCAAAGTCACTGATGGGTCAGGCTCCCCAGGGGCAGATGAACCAGCGGGAAGCCTGCCCCGTGTGTCCTCACACCCTGAGCCAAATCAAACCCTCAACTCTCCGGACCTGGGAAATGAGGCGCTGGAGAAATATCAGTCCTGATGTCACCGGAACCTGCCATCTTAGTCCTGGGTGCCAGCAGGACAGTGATGTCCTTTCTACCATCTGCCCCAGCACCAGCAGTAGTGGCAGTTGCTCCTCAGAGCTCAGTAACTGCTGTTTCTAATGACCAATAAGGAGCGAGCTGTGAGCTGATTGGTGCTAAATGGTCCAATCAGACTTGTATATGAAAGAAGATATAAGCCAGTATTTGAGGGAGTGGGGGAGCCCCTGAAGGAAAGGAGATGATAACCCCATCCCTGAGAGAAGAGGATGAGGGGGTTCCCAAAGTAGAAGGAGAAAAGATACCAGCCCCTGAAGAAAAGAAGACAGTTCCAGCCTCTGAAGAAGAAAAGCAGCACCAGCAGCCATCCTCCAAGGAGGGAGAGAAGCCCAAGGACTCTGTCTCAAATGGGGACTCGGTCCTGACTCCGACATTTCCTGAAAGGAGCTCCCAAGACCCTGGGCCTGGCATTTCAAAGAGCTGTTTGTGTTGGCATAACCCAACCACTCACAAGGAGCTGTGTACACTTGGTGACTCTGACACAGCCTCTCCAGGACCAGTAGTGTCCATCACTGCTGGCTAATGCTGTCCAGCACTCCTGGTGACTGGTGGAGACCATCACTGATGCTACCTGGGTGAAGCAGCTGCTACTAGTGGATAAGTGGGCTCCTTGTTTCCCCTGCTTGCAAAATAACCCCAGTGCTTGCTGTTCCTGGATCCTGAGGTCTCTTGCAATTGTGTGAGTGGGTGAGACCCACAGATGTTACCTGTCCACTTATTGAGCACTGTCCTTTCTTAGTGTATAGCTCTTGGTTTTGATTTTTGGCCTTTTGGGGCTTTTTGGCAGCTCTGTGGACTCAGAGCCTGGGCAGGTGGGTGGCCATTCCATCCATCTGGCCTTCTGCCCTGTGGCTCATTTGTGGCTCCCTCTGCCCCTGTTTTACCAATACACCTGAGCCAATGCTTCTGAGCTTTGGGGCTCTGGCTGCACTCCAGGATGCTCAGGTAAGGCTCAACCTTTAACTGATATTGTGAGTGAATAGCCATGGTAGGCCTGGGGAGTGAAAGGAACCTGCAGCCTGAGTGGCAACTGAACTCCCACTGTTTACCTGAACACACCATTTCCAGATGCTAGGAAATTCCGGCAGGGCTCAGGGTCACAACATCTGGACCTGTCCTTTGCCAACCAAACACCCACCCCCAACCCCCATTCAAGCAAGAAGCAGATATTTCTAAGCCAGAAATCTTGGTGGGTGCTGACCACCCCCAGCTGCCCCAGCCCCATCTCTGAGTCAGGTCAGTGGGTGTCCCCACAGCACAGGCCACCCATGGCAGGCAGCACAATGTGACAGACACACACCCCATGTTGTGCGGCTGGCAACACTCTTGAAAGTGAGAAAAGGGGCTGTGCACTCACGCTAGCAGGCAAGACAGGAGAGTAGCAGACACAGGGAAGAGGGAGCATACAGTCCGAGCTTTACAGCATCTGCTGACCTGCCAGAGTCTCCCCTGCCTCTGGCCTGCAAGGTGGCCAATGGGCACACTCAGCTCATTGGCAAAAATGGAGGAAAACCATGGCCCAGAGAGTTTTAAATGTTAGGATATGAAGAATGGATTTATTGATTACTATTCATACTACATTAATGGTACATTTGTTAATATTGTAGGAGAGCTAATGCTGTCAGCAGAGGTTGCTCAGGGCTGTTAGTACAGTCAGGGCTGGTGAGTGTAGTCAGTGCCATCCACACTCACTATGCTTAAGCGCCACACTCCCAAGAGACCTAAAATAAAAAACTTCCTGGTGCTCTGAAAGCTGTGGGAGGGTGCCCACCCCAAGGTGAAGCTCAGGCTACACACGTTCATGGGCACGGAGGTGGCCATCAAGATCATCCTGAAATCCAGGCAGCCCCACCACAAGTCACTGGAGAGTGAGATGAGGTGCATAAAGGCACTTCACCACCTGCACATCATTCAGCTGTTCCCAGTCGTGGACACCGGAGATGAACTCCTGCTGGTGATGGAGTACATGGAGGGCGGCGACCTGCAGGGCTACCTGTGCCAGTGCAGGTGTGTCATGAAGAGGGAGTCCCACCAGAAGTTCGAGCAGATCCTTTCAGCCCTCAGCTATTGCCACACCAAAGGCATCGCTGGGACCTGAAGACCCAGAACATCCTAATGGACTATAAGAACAACATGAAGCTGGCAGGCTTCAGGCTCAGTGTCTGGTTTACCAATACAACAACAAGGCGCTAAGCACGTACTGTGGCAGCCCATAATTCATGGCCCCTGAGGTCTAACTTCACCATCATTATACCAGCCCCACTGCAGATGTGTGGAGCCTGGGCATCATCCTCCACAAGATGGTGACCAGGGCACTGCCCTTTGTGGGGACCAACCTCTGGGAGCTCAGGGAGCACTTCCTGAGTGGATACTTCTATGTGTCCCACTAACTTTTGGTCCAGTGCTGGGACCTGTTTAACAAAGTGAACGGTACTGATCCCCAGAGTCGGAGCAGCCTAGAGAGTATCATGTGGGTCTGCTACTCCTAAGCAGCCTGTTTGGCCACCATTTTGTCACCTATAACAAAGTCAAAATGGCCCAGTCAGTTAGGTACAGGAGCCCAATCCTTCAAGGTGCCCTTCAAATCAAACAAGAGCACAAAGCTGGATCACGCTGGGAAGGCTATGCATCACGAGGTATGACTGGGAACACCCGGGGTTGGAGTGGGGCTTAGGACTGTTGTATGACAAGGGATCCCAGAAGCTGATCAGTGGAACACCTTGTTGATAAGATTCAAACCATGGCTGGGAATTAGGGTGTGTCATCAATTAGATAAGAAGTGCCTGGAGGCCAGACTCATAATCCATAATCTTTATACCCTTCCCCTCTCTTTAATCCCCTTCCCCTTAATCTCCTTTGCTCCTCCCCCTTACAACCAATACCATGTTTTAATAAAAAGGCCAGGATCTTGCTCTTCAGCAGCATCCAGCATTGTGTCACCTGCTTCACAACTCTTGTTTCTTTGTCAGTGTGGCAACAAGTGGAGCCCAAACAGGGATCCCACACCCCACTTCTCAAGCCCGGAGAAGGGAATTGGATGTCTTCTCAAGCCTGGCCAAAATGCTTCACAGACTCAGAGTCTGTGACGAAGCAGTAAGAAGGTGTTTTCAGTCATGTCTTTCCTATCTTCTTTTTCTTCCAAATCAGCCTGGTAATAGGCCCACAGACCCAGCATCTGTGACGATAATCCACCTGATAATAGGCCCACAGGCACTGAGTCTGTGATGTTAACTTTTTCTGTGAGTTTTTCAGTTAAATCTTTTTTTCTTCTTAAAAAACACGGGTAATAGGGACTCCCCTGGTGGCGCAGCGGTTGAGCGCTGGGCTGCAAAACTGCGCACAGCCTCTGCAGCACTGGTTCAATCCCTGGTTGCCTGCGAGGGTCTCACATGGTGTGCAGACCTCTTCTGCTGCCCGCTGCTCCCCTCAGCAGTGTACTTCATCAGTCTGCTTGTTCTGTTCCCCGCTCTGGCTCTGGTGAATTCTCTCACACTCCCGCGTTTCTGACTGTACCCAGTGCTTGTATAAATAAATAAATAAATCTTAAAAAAAAAAAAAAAAACCCAAAAACATGGGTAATAATCCTACCTCCCCTAGAACAATTATAAAGAACAACTTAGCGCTCTCCCTTTACATGAAGATACTAAAGAAACTTTACTGAACTCTTTTGAGTCTGACCCTGATCACAAGTCCTCTTCAGAGGCTAATGCTGGGGAATCAAGTAGAGGATGTTACAGCACCCTCCACTGAACTCTCTAATAAGCTTCAAGAAATTCTTAGAGCATTTCAGTCTCTTACCATTCATTCTAATCTGCCAATGTCTCAAGATTCTTGTCAGCTAACCATAGCTGAAAAAAATGCTTATGAAGGCAGTAAACAAGATGGACTTCTTGCATTTCCTGTTAGTACAAAAAGGGGTTGTATAACCCATGATAATATCTCCTTTTCTATTTTTAAGGAATTAAGGTCTAGCATCAGTGAAAACTGAATACCATGTTCCTTTACAAGAGGAATCATTGAAGGAATAGGTGGCAGTTATCAGATGACACCATGGGACTGGAAACTGTTGGTAAAAAACAGTTCTCAGTGCACCACAATATGCCTTGTAGTATCAAGAATTTAGGGATTACTTAGAAATACAGACATGCCGTAACACAGCAGAAAATATTCCTATCACACTAGACATGCTTATAGGCGAGAGCATATATGTCACTGTACAAGATCAATTACATTTAGAAGAGAGGGCATATACCCAGATATCAGATGCAGCTGTTTGGGCCTGGGCTTGAGTTCCTGATGATACCGCTCTGGGTTGTTCCTTTGCCTCTATCCAGAAAGAAGCCTCTGAATTATATCTACAATTCATAGACCAGAGGGCAATAGCTCGCCAAGCTGATAATGCAGAAGCTAGATGGGTTTTAACATTACAGTTGGCTTATGAAAATGCTAATGCTCACTGCAAAAGGGTGCTAGCTTCCATAGTGGGCAAGCCTCATACTATCACAGATATGCTACGGGCTTGCCAGGATATTGGGACAGAAACCCGTAAGGCGCTGGTCTTGGCTTCTGCTTTACAAAAACAGCCCCTTGTTTTAAGTGTGGACAAATGGGTCATTTTCATATAAACTGTCTTAATTCAAATTCAGGGGAAGCTCCTAAAATAAACAAACCAAAGACCAAATGCCCCCATTGTCAGTGAGGCTTCCATTGGGCAGTTCACTGCTGGTCTAAATTTACCAGGGACAGTCGCCCGATTTTGGGAAATGGGCAGAAGGGCTCAAGCCAGAGCGCCCCTCAAACAAATAAGGGCAATTACCAGACCCCACTGCGTATCCCCAGCCAGCTACCTGTCACAAATGGAAGCTCCCGGGTCGTCACTAGCAACGTGGCCTCAGAATAGCATTCTAAATCCCCAGCCTCAGGAGAGAAACCCCACCAATCAATTTTCGATCTAAAGGCAGCCTTTAAAGGCATGCAGGATTGGATTTGTCTCTTACTCATGAATTAATTCTTAATATCTCTGGTGAAGTATGCCTTGGTAACACTGGCATTTTTGGGCCACTCCCTCAAGGTTATGTAGATCTAATCCTAGGGTGTTCAAGCATTACAATAAATGGCATATTCATCCTCCCAGGAGTAGTGAACTCAGATGACATAGGGGAAATTAAGATTATGCTTATGGCCCATAAATATGTAGTTGTCTCTCCTCATACTTGTATTGCACAGTTGTTACTTTTAACATACTGGGCCCCAACCTCACAATCTCAACAAAGAGGCCCTTGAGTGTTTGGCAGCTCTGGAAATCAAGCCTTTTGGGCAACTGCTATTACAAATACCCGACCTTCTTTAACTGTCTCTATTTTGGGCAAATCATTTACTGGCCTTATTGACACAGGAGCCGATGTCTCAATAATAGCAAAAAGGGACTGGCCCCCTACTTGGCAAGCCTGTTCCATAACTGAATCCTTATCAGAAATAGGCAGCTCCACCTGTCTACACCAAAGCTCCCACTCATTACAATGTTTTGATCCAGATGGAAGAGTGGCTTACTTTCACCCTTTTATTCTTCCCATTCCTACTACTCTGTGGGGACGAGATTTATTATCTCATTGGCGCATCTCTGTTATGTCGCATTTTTAGCTACAGTCACTGCTATTCTTCCACTCAAAATTAAATGGGTGGGTCCCCCAGTTTTGATGGAGCTGTGGCCCCTAAAGGAGGATAAATTGGCTCAAGTCTGCTTATTAATAAATGAACAATTACATTTAGGTCACATGGAACCCTCGACCAGTCCATGGAACATCCCCATATTCTGTATTCCAAAAAAATCAGGGAAATGGTGACTTATTCAGGATTTACAGGCAGCTAATTTTCAAATGCAGCCAATGGGAGCACTTCAACCAGGCCACCCTAATCCAGATATGATTCCCTTGACTTTTTCATTTCCTGTTTGTGGAGATGTTTCTTCACAATTCCTTTACACCCAGATTATAAGGGAAAATTTGCCTTCTCAGTTCCTGAGATTAATAACGGTTGACCCTTACAATGTTTTCAATGGTGTTTTTTTACCTCAAGGAATAATGAATAACCCCACCATGTGTCAGCTATTTGTGGACAACACCCTACGTCCAGTCCGTACTCAGTTTCCGTCTCACTTGATGTACCACTACATGGATGATACCTTGTTAGCAGCATCCTCTACCAATCATCTACAGGTCTGTTCAGAAGTTTTAATGACCATTTAAAACTTACAGCCTTGGTGGTGGCACCTGATAAGATTCAGTATTCTAACCTTTATTCTTATTTAGGATTTAAGATGCTACATTCTCAAGTAATTCCTAAGACTCCTACTTTACATTTATCTGACTCCGTCACATTATCGACTTTACAACAATTTTTAGGACACGTTAATTGGCTTCGTCCAGTTCTTGGAATTCCCACTTATGCTCTTTCTGAGCTGTTTGCCTCTTTAAAAGGCGATCCAGCCCCAGCCTCTCATCGCTCGCTCACTAACAAAGCAAAGCAACAATTAACATTTCTTAACAACCGCCTTCACTCTTCTTGTTTTGACAGGTGCAACCCTAAAATATCTCTCATTGCTTATTGTAAATACCCCCCATTCTCCTACAGGAATTACTGGACAATTGACCTCACTCTTCTGCATTATTGGATGACTATTTCTTCCCTCCCAGCCTAAAAATCATCTATCTACTTATTTTTCTCAAAGATGTTCCTTGTTACAAAAAGGTCATTCTCATTGTCAGTCCTTATCTGGTTATTATCCTGGCTCTATTAACACAGGCCTCTCCAAGCAGGAAAGAAAATGGTTCCTCACTCAGTTGGAGCAATTTCAAATTGTTTTCCAGGATTACATCAGATCATTCTTTTATTCAATCCACCCTGATAAATGCATTCAATCCCTACAACTTATTCATTCTTTTGATATTGTTATTAATTCTCCCATTCCCCAAGCTCTTACTATCTTCGTAGATGGTTCCTCCACTACAGGCCGCTGAGTCATGGTCTGGCGCACAGTGTTGGATGCGATGTGGCAAACTGCCTATACTACATCTTTTCCTTCAGCCCAACGTGCTGAACTAGCAGCTGTTATTTGGGCTCTTTACTAATTTCCTTCACAGTCACTTAATATTATTTCTGATTCACTATATGTTACCGCCCTAGTACAAGACATCTCTTCTGCCTTTCGTAACACTAACATTGATGAAGCCCTATTATCGGCTTTCATTTCTTTACAAGCTTTGCTTTGCCAACGTGTTCAGTGGATTCCGGCTTCCTATATTAAACCCTACCACTCTTCTAGAAGAAAACACAAAACTCCTGATTCTCCAGCCATAACATGGGGAGCCATCAAGCGCCTTGCATCATCAGCAGAGACACTACTGGCTCAGCAGGGAGTACCTGCCACATCAACTAACCTCTTTGTGGCCTTCATTTCCTCTCTCTCGGCTAACAGTAACTTGGATGTTCCTGCTATCATCAGATGCAAGTTAAAAGACACAAACTAACAAGATGACTCTTTGCCTGGCCTATGGCCTGCCTAGACTTCCTCCCTTTTTCCCCCCTTCCTCCCACCTCTCCTCTTTTTAATTAAAACAAAAAAGGGGGACATGTGTGTCTGCTACTCCTAAGCAGCCTGTTTGACCACCATTTTGTCACCTATAGCAAGGTCAAAATGGCCAGTCAGTTAGGTACAGGAGCCCAATCCTTCAAGGTGCCCTTCAAATCAAACTAGAGCACAAAGCTGGATCACGCTGGGAAGGCATCACGAGGTATGACAGGGAATGCCTGGGGGGCAAAAGACCGATGTATGACATGGGACCCCAGTCTGCCGGCTATGCTCTCCCTTCTGGCTCTGGTGATTCTCTTACCCTCCTGCACTTCTGACTGTACCCAGTACTTATATAAATAAATTAAAAACACTACATGATATGCACCACAAAAACATCTTTATAGACACATCACTCAAATCAGTGATAGGGAAGGCAAAGGTAAACAGCTGGGACTACATCAAATTAAAGAGCTTCTGCACAGCAAAAGAGACAGTAACCAAAACAAAGAAAAACCCCACCAACTGGGAGAAAATTTTTGCACACAACACTAATTATAAAGGACTGATCACAAAAATTTACAAAAGAGCTGATGAGACTCAACAAAAACAAAGAAAATAATCCAGTCAAAAAATGGGCAGAAGAGTTAAAGAGGAACTTCTCCAAAGAGGAAATGCAAATAGCCAACAGGCACATTAAAAAATTGTTCAACATCACTTATAATCAGGGAAATGCAAATCAAAACTACAATGAAATACCATCTTATACCAGTGAGAATGGCACATATTAAAAAAAACTAGCAACAACAAATGTTGGCGAGGTTGTGGAGAAAAAGGAACTCTCCTGTACTGCTGGTGGGAGTGCAAACTGTTCCAACCACTATGGAAAGCTGTGTGGAGAGTCCTCAGTCTGCTAAAGATGGAGCTTCCATATGATTTAACAATTCCACTCCTAGGTATTTTCCCAGAGGTCACAGAATCATTAATTCAAAAGGGCACCTGCACCAGTGTGTTTATAGCAGCACTATTTACAACAGCTAAGCTATCAAAACAACCCAAATGCCCAAAAATAGATGACTGGATCAAGAAGATGTGGTATATATACACAGTGGAATATTACTCAGCAGTCAAAATAGATAAACACATGCAGTTTGCAACAACATGGATGGAGCTGGAAGGGATCATGCTCAGCGAAATAAGCCAGAAAGAAAAAGAAAAATACCAGATGGTCTCACTCATAGCAGGAATTTAGAAAACCCAAACAAGGGACCAGGAAAAAGACTAATTATAATAGAGAAAAAGTCAAAATCAACAAGCAACTGTGGACCAGAGACACACTACGGGTATGGTAGGATTAGGGTCAAAATAAGAGGGTCGCAATTGTATGGGGAATATAACCAGGATGAAGATGTATACATTGTGCAAAAATAAAAAATGATGTAGAATTATATAAAATAAAATATATTAAACATTAAAAAAATAAAACAAATATGCTAGGTCTTAAAAAAATAAATAAAATATCCTGTGTTGGTATTTAATAGGCATATAATTGCTAGGGTGACATCCTTCTCAGCACTTTACTTTTCTTAAATGGGCTTTTCACAGTGATTGTTTTCTTTAAAGAAGTGCAGATTTTGAAAACGTTTGAAAGGGATAACTATTTGACTTCCAGTGAAGAAGAGGGAAATGAAGCTCCTGGGGGATCTGCCTGGAGAGAAGCCCCTTGACGGTCAAGTGCACCAGAATATGGAACACACAGGTCTGCTGGGTGGTTGAAGGTGAGGCTAGAAGAGGCCACAGCACAGTTGTGAGAGGAAGAGAAGAAAGGCAGCCCTTATGCTGACCACACAGGGGGTTGGCTTGGCTCTCTGGTCCCATTGCTTAGAGTCCCTCAATTTCAAAATCGTTCTTTTCCTCAGTAGCCAATTTTGGGAGACAGCGATTTTTGCTGGGACTCTAAAAACAATGCAATCAACACATGTCATACTTTATATTGAGAAAATGAGTATCTAACTGTAGCCGTTTTACAGCTCGGTCATCATGTGGCTCCCTCATTTTCAAAGTGTCATAATTTATGGAGAATTGGAAAATGGCATTTGGGAAATGCCAGTCTGAAAAGGCAAGACATTAATTTGTGTGAACTTTATGCTCCAAATAACTTGTGGAATAATCTAATCTAAACTATTTTCTATGTATAACTTTGTTTTCTTTCCTATTGCTCAAAGAAACAAACTGAAATCCATCCTAAGTTAGCTCTGTGTACTCACCACTTTTTAAAAGAATAGAATATTAGGGCAATCCAGGAGTCATAGCATTGCTCACTAACAGTTTCTTAGGCCCTCAGGGAATTAAAAGTTTACATAAACATGTTGAATTTTCATAGGCTATGACACTTCCCGTGAATGATTATCATACTTACAAACATATTTGTATTTATAGGCATCCTTTCATATTTTTACAATCATTAAAACCTCATTAATATCCAAGGAAAAGAATAAACATATTCTTTGAAATCTTTTATGAATTCATAAAATGATAAATTCCAAATCAAGATTTATTCATTCATTTCACAATCCTCTGCATCTTTACAATTTGTGTGATGATAAACATGATGAGTTTATAATAAGACAAAATAGAGAAACAAACCTAATCTTTCCTATTAAATAAGGGATTTACACTTTGCAAATAGAATGATTTTCACAGTAGTACACCCTGATAGCCATAGGGAATCAGTTAAGTCTTTTTAAATTACCTTATTCAGGGCCTCCCCAGTGGCGCAGCGGTTGATCGCCGGGTTGCGAAGCTGCCCGCGGCCTCTGCGGTGCCGGTTCGATCCCCGGCTGCTCCCCGGCCACTGGAGGAGGGTCCCACATGGCGCGCAGACCTCTCCTGCCGCCCGCTGCTCCCCTCAGCAGTGTACTTCGGTCCTTCTGCCTGCTCTGCTCCCCGCTCTGGCTCTGGTGAATTCTCTCACCCTCCCACGCTTCTGACTGTACCCAGTGCATGTATAAACAAACAAACAAACAAAACAAATAATAAATAAAACATGCCTCTACAAAAAAAAAAAAATTACCTTATTCACTAAAGTATAATTAAATCTGTATTTAAAATCTGAATCTACGAAATAATGTGCAGTACTAAACTGAAAAAGAAAATGGCACCTCTGACAGAACATATATATATACACAAATATATATACATATATATGCATAATTTATATATGTACAAATATGAAAATATAAACTTTCATAGTTAAATAACAGGTTGATAGTCATATTCTGAAGTGGGCATAAACATTAAAGTTACTGATTTACTTCTTATAAGGAAAGTTTCATCTATAATTTTAATTTCTAGCTGCTTTATCATAGACTTCATAGTACACTATGGACATGTGAACATTATGTAAAATTGAGATTTTATTTAATTTATTTTTTTAAAATATTTATTTATTTATACAAACACCGGGGTACAGGCCAGATGCGCCAGAGGGTGAGAGGATTCACCAGAGACAGAGAAGGGAACAGAACAGGCAGACCGACTGAAGTACACTGCTAAGGGGCGCAGCGGGTGAGACAGGAGAGGTCTGCTGCGCCATGTGGGATTGTTGGCCGTCTGGGATTGAACCCGCGCTGCAGAGGCTGTGGACAGCTTCACCTTGTGGCGCTCAACGGCCTGCACCACCAGGGAGGCCCTAAAATTGAGATTTTAATTTGATTGTATACACAGATGAAATATATAAACATAAACAGGTTTTTATTCCTTAGGAATTAATTTGGAGGAAAAATAAAGGAGAAAGGAGTCTGATCTTTCTGAAATGTCTAAGTTTAGAATTCAAATAGTGGTAAATGAGTTACAATACAAATAAAATATTATTGGTTATAGAAAGCTACAGAAGAGGTGTGTTTTACTTTTTTTTTTTTTATTTCAGTGAATGTCACTATGATCTCAGCTGTGTTGGGGCTGAGGTGGGTGGTCCGGAAGGAAATGGCGCACGCAGAGGCCATCGGCTCGCGTCGAGGCTGGAGCCCCGGTCCTGGGAAGCTGACGCGGTTTAATGACAATCTCACTAGACGGTAACACATCACATCACTTAACCTGCTGTGACTCCTCACACACATATGAGATATGACTTACATGTAACTTTGCATTAAGAAAAGGCGCAAACATGATCACTTGGTATACAGATAGCTCATGAAATGGCCACCAGAGAGGTTTTTTAGCCTCTGTCACCTGGAACACACATGGGTTTATTTTTCTTCTTGTGAGGAGAGCATTTAAGAGCTACTGTTGGGCAACTTTTAAGTATTTCCAATAGTATCATTAGCTATTATCATTAGGACGGACACTAGATACCCAGAACCTATTCATCTCAAAGCTGGAAGTTTATACTAGGGACTAAACCAACCCTTTCCCCCAGCCCCAGGCCCTGGCAGCTATCATTTCAGTCTGTCCCTGTGAGTTCAGGTTTTAGGTTCCAGATCCGGGTGATGTCACACAGTCTCCGTCTTCCTCTGCCTAAATTCTTTTACTTTCCATAATGCCCTCAGGGACTCACCGTTTTGACCTGAGTCTCTAGAATCTTATATCACATCCCATTTCTCTGCACTCAGCCCTCAGTGCACACACAGGTGCCTCTACATCTTGGTGACTGTGAGCAGCATGGCCCTGGGCCTGGGGTGGGGCGCGCTTCCAGCTGCATTTTCTTTTGTATCTATACCCAGAAGGAAGCCTGCAGGCTCATAGCTTAATTCCATTTTTAACTTTGTAGAAAGCCCACGCTATTTCTCAGAGGGGCTGCACCCATTGACTTTCTCACCAGCTGTGTGCGGGCCCCCTTTCCACACTTTCCCACACTTGTTCTTGCTCTAAATTTTGGGGGTGGCCACTCTAATGGGGGTAGTGACAGGTGGTGTGGCTTGATCTGCGTCTCCCTGAGATAAGTGACCTTGAGCTCCTTGTTCTGTACCTCTTGGCCATATTCATGTCTTATTTGAGAAATGTCTGTTCTGTTTCTGTTCTTAATCACATTTTTTCTTGCTACTCAATTGCATGAATTCTTTATATATTTTATGTGCTAGCCCTTTATCAGATGTATAATTTGTAAATGTATTCTCCCATTTTGTAATGTCCCTGTTATTTTGATGGGTTTCTCTGCTGTGCAAACTCCATTTCTACCTTCTTTCCTCACATGACATCTTACATTTTTCTCTTGGAAGAGGATGCTATATGCCTCGGTTCTGAGTTATTCTTTTGAAATTTTTATGTTTCTCCACAGCCTTCAGAACAACAGGAAAGTCACTACGGTTACTGAAACTCATCATGAAGAAGTCTGATCATACAAGAAAAATAGATTTTATTAAATAAGATACTGATAATTTTCTCAGGCTCTGCATTCCATGACCATCATTGGGGAGCAAAGAAACCCTTCATTAATTTCAAGGAGAGAAACACCACAAATATTTAGAGTGCTCTCAAAACTAAAAAAAAAAAAGATATTTTCTCCTTTTTATACAGTACTATAGTGAGAGTTTATTGACTTTATGAGCATAGACATATAAGATCAGAACAAATTAAATTTGAAAGCTAAATTTTCAAGTACCTGCTAGGCAATACAGAATGCTGTAGACATCAAATATCAGATGACTTAATTGTATCGGAGACTCTCAAAATAGGGATGAATAGAAAGAAAAAAAATGCTCTTTGATTTAAAATCTTCAGTCAGAAATTAAATATAAAGAAGTACAATTGTTCCCTCCCCCCTCCCTCCTTGTCCTTCTCTCTTCCCTCCCTTCCTACTTCCCTTTCTGCTTCCTTCTTTCCATGTATTCCTTCCTTCCATTGTTCTTCATTCTTCTTTTTCCCTCTTTGACTCTATAAAGTTTCTTCCATCTTATTTAGAAAAAGTTTGTTAAATGTTAGCATCAGCTGAAGTTTAAATCTCTTCAGAATCTTCCCTTCCTTTATGATGTCCTATATAGTTTCCCATTTTCATTTCCTACTGTATCTCCAGATTATAAACTCACCAAAATGCAATTATACAATTTTTACAGGAATAGAAATGTATTAAATGTAGAAAGTTCAATAATAGTTTATAGCATTTGATGAATTTCTTTAGAAAAAATATGAAACAAGAAATTAAGTTGAAATGCATATTATTATTAGAGGAATAGTATGTATGTTTGAGGTATAATGAAATATATATTTGAATTCAGTTGTAGACGAAGATAGAAGAATGGTAAATGTATAGGATGTGCTAGATTTGATCGATCTAGTGGAGCTAAGATGCTTGCATTTCAAGGACAGAAATGACATTTAAATGATCCAATATTGAATTAGAATCCATAAACTATTATAGATATCTTAATAGTATAAACTATTATAGATATTTTAAAATTACCACAATAGTGAAATTTTAAAGAGTATTTGTGGATGCTGCAAAATAATGTTTGTCTTTTTCATGTGAACAGAGATCATAGGAGCTACAAAGAAGTGCTTCTAGAAAAGCATTAAGTTTGGGAAAGAGGGAGAAACATCAGAAACCTTTAACAGCTGAACCCATATTCATCCCATAGGATATCGACCAACTGTGTGTGTGTGTGTGTGTGTGTGTGTGTGTGTGTGTGTGTGTGTGTGTCTACTGTTTGGCTTTGGTGTGAGGATATTCTGCCCTCATAAAGTGAGTTTGGGCAGGTCCCCTTCAGTGTTTGGAAGAGTGTGAGGTAACTGATTATTAATCCTCCTTAAATATTTAGAATTCACAACTGAGTCACTTCTTTCTAGACTTTTCTTGGACATCTTTGGGAGGTTTCGATTCAATTTCCTTTCAAATTATAGGTCTTTCCATTTCTTCATGATGTGGGTATGTTTTATATCTTCAGGACTCTATCCATTTCTTCTGTGTTAGCCAATTTATTGATTATTACATTGACTGGTCTCTTTTGATTTGTTCAATATCAGTTGTCACATCTTCTCTAGCATTCTGATTGTGAGCCTTTCTCACTCAGTCTAACCAAAGATCTTGTTTATCTCTAAAAAAATATTACTTTTATTGATTTTTTGAACTAATTTTTTTCTCTATTTCATTTATTTCTGACTAAGCATCTTTTTCCTCCCCAGAATTTTGTATACTTGTGGACCAAACTCCAGTATTAAAAAAAGGAACACACACACACAAATACCACCTGTTTCTCAAAGCATTGTGTTATTGATTTTGTGATTTGCAAATATAACTTTCAGTGGTAATTAATTAATTGGATTTCATCCCACACAGCTCTAGACAAAATGTATATTTTTAGTAATATGTACATTTTGGAAAGATCAATCAGAGTAGAATTCACTCATTCACTCACCACATAAATATATAAAATAAGGGTAGATGATCTTCCAATATTGGTTCTTGTTATTCCTACATCTTAAGCAAAATAATAAGGCAAACAGAACTGCATTAATATATTGCATATCTTTTAGAAATTTTAAAATTATAAAATGATCACCAAACATTGAAGACTATTCATTAACATAATCTATAACTTTCATGAGCCTGCTCTCCATTTTCCTTCCTCCCTTCTCCCCAACCCTCACTTCTAGCAAAATCCAAGGGTTTATTTTGGTTTTTGCCCATATTTTTTTTTTAGTGCCACGCATGATTGAAATCATGTGGCATTTGTCTTTCTGCTTTTTACTTATTTCACTTAGGGCCATGCCCTGCAGTTCTATCCAGGTTGTCACAGATGCCCTCTTTTCATATCTTCTGTTCAACTTTTGGACTATTCTTACTTATAAGGTGTGTCCCCCTAATGTTGTGGGAGTCTTCCTGTGTCATTTCACCTCCCCTACATCCACTACAAATATATCAGTGATACTTTTTTTTTTTTTTAAAGATTTATTTTATTTACACAAGAACTGGGGTAAAGGCCAGAGGCACAAGAAGGTGACAGAGCAGGGAGCAGAACAGGCAGATGAATTGAAAACACTGCTGAGAGGAGCAGCAGGTGAGAAAGGAGAGGTCTGCCACGCCATGTGGGTATCTCCCTGGCCAGCCGGAAATCCAACCTGCACTGCAGAGGCTGTGGACAGCCCCACAGAGCTGTGCTCAACCTGCTGTACCACCGGGGAGGCCCCTCAATGCTACTTTAAATGATTAAAAATATTGTAAAAGGCTTGATGGGGGAAGAGAGGATCAGAGACACTTGATCTCATTTTCTTTTCTTTTTTTTTAAAGATGTATTTATTTATGCATACAAGAACTGGGGTACAGGGCAGGGGTGTGGGGGATGAGAGGATTCACCAGAGACAGAGTGGGGAACAGAACAGGCAGACTGACTGACATACACTCCTGAGGGGAGAAGCGTTCGAGGCAAGAGAGGTCTGCTGAGCCATGTGGGTTTCTCCCAGGCCAGGGATGGAACTCGTGCCACAGTGGCTACAGATTGAGTCATAGGCTGCTTCTTAACACTTTGTGGCACTAGGAGGGCCCTGTTCTCATCTCTTTTTTTAATAATAAATTTTATTTTTATATTCCCCATACAATTGCAAAACCTCCATTTTAACCCCAATCCCTCCCCTCCGCCACCCACCCCCCAAAAAGTGTCTCTGGTTCATAGTTTTTTGTTGATTTTGAGTTTCACTTTCTTATAGTTATTCATTTTCCTGGTCCCTTATTTAAGTTTTCTAGATTCCTGCTATGAGTGAGACCATCCAGTATTTTCCTTTTTCTTTCTGGCTTATTTCACTGAGCATGATCCCTTCCAGCGCCATCCATGTTGCTGCAAATTGCATGTGTTTATATTTTTTGAATGCTGAGTAATATTCCATGGTGTATATGTACCACATTTTCTTGATCCAGTCATCTATTTTGGGGCATTTGGGCTGTTTCCAAAGCTTAGCTATTGTAAACAGTGCTGCTATAAACATAGGGGTGCAGGTGCTCTTTGGAATTGATGTTTCTGTGTCCTTTGGGTAAATACCTAGGAGTGGAATTGCTGGATCATATGGAAGCTCTAGGTTTAGTAGGTCCAGAAATCTCCACACAGCTCTCCATAGTGGTTGGACCAGTTTGCACTCCCACCAACAGTGCAGGAGAGTTCCTTTTTCTCCACAACCTCGCCAACATTTGTTGCTAGATTTTTTAATATGTGCCATTCTCACTGGTGTAAGATGGTATCCCATGGTAGTTTTGATTTGCATTTCCCTGATTACCAGTGATGTTGAATATTTTTTCATATGTCTGTTGGCCATTTGCATTTCCTCTTCAGAGAAGTTTCTTTTTAGCTCTTCTTCCCATTTTTTGATTGGATTATTTTCTTTGTTTTTGTTGAGTCTCATCAGCTCTCTGTAGATTTTTGGGATCAGTCCTTTATCATTAGTGTTGTGTGCAAAAATGTTCTCCCAGTTGGTGGGGTTTCTCTTTGTTTTTTTTTATTGTCTCTTTTGCTGTGCAGAAGCTCTTTAATTTGATGTAGTCCCAGCTGTTTTTCTTTGCCTTCACTATCACTGCTTTGGGTGATGTGTCTGTAAAGATGTCTTTGATGTGCAAATCACGTAGTGTTTCGCCTATATTTCCCTCTATGTATTTTATGGTTTCAGGTTTTATGTCTAGTTCTTTAATCCATTTTGAGTTGATTTTTGTGTATGGTGTGAGGTAGTGGTCAAGCTTCATTCTTTTGCATGTAGCAACCCAGTTTTCCCAGCACCATTTATTGAACAAACTTTCTTTCCTCCAATGCATATTCTTTGCTCCTTTGTCAAAGATTAGTTGACCATAAATCTGTGGGTTTATTTCTGGATTTTCTATTCGATTCCATTGGTCTGTGTGTCTGTTCTTGTTCCAATACAATGCAGTTTTGATGATGATGGCTTTGTAGTAGAGTTTGAAGTTTGGGAGTGTGATGCCTCCATTCCCTTCTTTTTTTTTTTTTTCAGGAGATCTTTGGCTATTCGGGGTTTTTGGTGATTCCAGATGAATTTCATCAATAATTTCTCTATTTCTTTGAAGAATGACATTGAAATTTTGATTGGAATAGCATTGAATCTGTATATTGCTTTTGGTAGGATGGCCATTTTAATAATGTTTATTCTTCCAATCCATGAGCAGGGGATGTCTTTCCATTTCTTTGTGTCTTCTTCTATTTCTTTTAACATTGTTTTATGGTTTTCTTTGTATAGGTCCTTTACCTCTTTTGTTAGATTTATTGCCAAATATTTGATGTTCTCATTTCTAATTGAAAAAGGATGCAAACTCGAACAGAATTTGTTCCTTAAAGAATTGACTGGGTTTTTTTTTCATATTAAATTTTTATTTTTTTTTATTTTTTAATTTTAATTTTATTTTTATATTCCCCATACAATTGCAACCCCCTTATTTTG